AAAGCCAGGCGGAAGTCAGAGCTAGGTGAAATTCACCACGATCTGTGAAGATGGAAAGTTCAAAGATTGGAATTGAGAAGTTCGATGGATACGATTTTGGTTTCTGGAAGATGCAGATTGAAGATTATCTGTACCAGAAAGATCTTCACGAACCTCTGTTGGGGGTGAAGCCGGATACCATGACCACGGAACAGTGGAAGCTCAAGGATCGACAAGCCTTGGGGCTGATCCGGTTGACGCTATCTAGAAACGTGGCGTTCAACATTATCAAGGAAAAGACAACGTCAGGTCTGTTGAAGACGCTGTCGAATATGTATGAAAAATCGTCGGATATGAACAAGGTGTATTTGATGCGGAGATTATTATGAGTCCTTGTGAGAACTGCATTACGAGCAAACAGAAACGAGTTAGCTTCACAAAGACTGTTAGAGAATTAAAGAAAAGTACCAGAAGCGTCACTGAAACTCCAGAGGAAGTTGCGTCGGTCGAAAGCGTCGCTGAAACTCCAGAGGGGGTTGCATCGGCTGGAAGCGTCGTTGAAACTCCAGAGGGGGTTGCGTCGGCCGGAAGCGTCGCTGAAACTCCAGAGGGGGTTGCGTCGGTCGGAAGCGTCACTGAAACACCAGAGGTGAAGCAAGTGGGAGTTGAGGTTGAGTTGCTCAAAGATTCACGGAGTTATGTTGTAACGGATACTCAAGAAACTCCTGAGACTCTTGCTGAAACACCAGAGGTGAAGCAAGTGGGAGTTGATGTTGAGTTGCTGGAAAAATTCACATTGTTGTAGCGGATACTCAAGAAACTCCTGAGACTCTTGCTGAGAAACCAAAGGTGAAGCAAGTGGGAGTTGAGGTTGAGTTGCTGAAAGATTCACATAGTGATATTGTAGCGGATACTCAAGAAACTCCTAAGACTCATGCTGTTGGCGAGGAACCCGGTCTATCATTCAAAACACAGAAGGCGATACCATTTCACTCGGAGGTTAGTTAAAGATGGTGACGTGTTTGGAGAAAATAGAGGGTGCAAAGAATCCAGCAAACTGTTGACAAAATGTGTTGATGTTGGAATATTAAGGTTGTGCAAAACCTCAATTGGTATGGTGCAGTGAAGATGCTCATGGTCGTTTGAGAGTGAAATCCTTGGTTGACTAGATCAGTCTCCAAGTGGGAGAATTGTTAGGTTATGGAGCCTGATGCTTATTTATAGTTTGGTCAACGGTTATATCCGGTAAAGTTATATTTGGTAAAGCTATATCCGGTAAAGCTATATATGGTAAATAGCTATATATAGTAGATGGTTAAATCGAGTAAAGCTATATATAGTAAATAGCTATATATAGTAGATGTTAAATCTGGTAAAGCTATATATAGTAAACTGAACTATATATATATATCCCGTCCCGTAGAGCTTTGAAAATATACTTTCTATTCTCTATACTCTCTCTTGTTGTACATACTTGAAGTCATCAATAAAAAAAAAAATCCTTTTAGCAAGAGTTCTCCTTGCAATTTTCTCTATCCTGTTCTTTGTGTTCATTTAGATCGAGTGTGTACGTTGTTGTGCGATCCTAACAACTGGTATCAGAGCTAACGACTAGTATCGATCCCAACACCAAGTTGCATCTTAATTTTTTGCATCTCATCAAGCTCTTTGAATAAGGATTTGGTGGCTATCATATGGTTCGAGCATCCGCTATCAACAAACCATAAGTCACCCTTTTTTTGGATTAGTATCAATACATGCCATAAAAAGTTTTTCTTCTTCTTCATTCTGCTGCAAAATTCATTCGTTGATCTTTATACCAACAATCATCTTTTGTGTGCCCATACCTTCTGCAATGGTAACATTGTATGACATTCCTTATATTACTTTGCTCATTGAATTGCCTTTTTACATAATTTCTCCATCTACCTCTGTTACCACGACCACCATGGAAGCTGCAAAATCCTCCTCTTCCACGACTTCTACCTGCTAAATGAATATTTTATTTTTCGTTACCTTCGTTGTTGGCTGTTTCCTCACTTGTAGTGCCTTTTCTTCATTCCTTTATGATGATCTATTGATTCTTGTCTCATCGAGCCTGAAGTGAGCCCATCAGTTCATCAACGGAGAGCATTGATAGATCATTAGCTTTTTCTATGGCAGCCACCACATGGTCAAACTTTGGAGTTTAGCTTCTCAACACCTTTGCAACAATTGTTTCATCTGAAATTTTCTCTCCATAGGTACACATCTGACTGACTATTGTCATTACTCTTGACAAAAAGTCAACAATTGATTCGCCATTCGTCATGAGCAGAGTTTCAAAATCACGTCTTAGATATTGCAATTTCATTGTTATGGCCTTTGAATCTTCTAAAAACTCCTTCTATAGAATTGACCATACTTGCTTTGATGTGGTTGCTGCTGCAATTCGTGAAAAAACAGTCTCATGAACTGCTTGGTAAATAATGAATAGAGCCTTGGCATCATTTTTCTTGGTTTCTCTTAGTCTCTCCTTCTCTTCTATTGTGGGTTCTAATATATCAACAAACCCGTGCTCCACCAAGTCCCTTAGCTCCTACGATCTGAGCAAGGTCTTCATCTTGATGCTCCACCACTCATATTTCTCACCACTAAAAATTGGTAACAGTGGTGTAGAGGAAGAAAAACCAGCTACCGCCATTTTTTGTTTTGTGAAAAAAAATAATCACTCACTCTCGTGTTGACAGGAACTTAACAGGAACTTGGCTCTGATACCAAATTTGTTGGGAGAAAGGGAAGTTGAAAGAGATAGGAATATCAAAGCTGCAGTGCTCTGTTATTGTTTTCTGACCTCAATGCTTAAAAGTTACCTAATTCCCAATATTTATAAGCTTATACACTAACCACAGAAATAGTAAATTATGGAAATATAAATTCAAATCTACTCACAATTTGCTAAAATCTTAGTAGTTTGAATACCTCGAATCATATCTAACTACTCTAAATCATATCTCAATTTTGAATACTTTGAATCATATCTCAACAGAGGGTCCTACCCAACCCTTTATAAAACCTATCTTTGTCCCTAATGTCGACATCATTGCTTCCATCTCCCTTGTGCCTCGGTATGGCCTCAACGCACATCTCTTTGGTGTGTTAGATGATATACAATCCTCCTCAATTCGCATCATCGCACATTCTTGTCTCAATCCTCACGTGGTCGATTGGGTGCCACTTTGTGTCGCCACCTTGTCATGACTGCACGTGAGGGTCACAACCTACCCTCTTCATAGTATGGTTGTGACATAGGGCACATGAGTGCGAATGTAAGTCTATTTGTTCCCTGTTCCACTTTCGTTTGTAAGTTTTTCGTTCTAATTTCGATACATACTCTATTGTGACTTGATTTAGGACCTACCAAATAAATTTCAGAAATTTGAGATTTTCAACATGTGAAAAAGCTAGCTTAAGAAGACACACTTTATCCAAGAAAGTAACCACACAAGATGTTCTAGCATACGAGCATTCTGTACATTAGATGGTTAGAAAAGACATGTTAAGAATTTCATAAAAGTATTTTTGGATGAGTATGTTGTATGTTATGGTAAAATTACGGATATGCCCCTAGGTTGAGATTTCCGAGTAGCGTGATACGTTTTATACAAAGCTAGAAAGAGAATATGCATGAGTAGAATACAAGTTGCACCAACTAACCTCCCTTGGATGACGAGCAAACAAGCTCTTACCATGTTCTCACCTGGTATGGAGTCTATTGAGTAATATCTCATCTTTAGATATCGGTTACCACTGCATAGGCTAAGCTAACTACCCAAAATTGTGCACAACAAAAGCAATACTCCTAGAGCCCAGAGTAAAGCCCATGATCTCCTGCTAGATCAAGGATGTGATAAGAGCCTACAACTAGGTTGTTTACTGGTATATACTCATCTCTTTTACTCATCTCTTTTCCCTTTCTTTTCCAGGTGTACACAGGTTGCCAGTTGAAGTGAAGAAGTGTTCGAAAACTATGGGGTCACAGAGGGGTCAGTCTAGAGCATAGTCTAGAACATCAGTCCATTTTTTTATGGGTCATTTCTATTTTGTTTCATAATTGTATCCTGAACCATTTTTCCTGTTTGTTATAACTTTGAGCAACAATTTCTTATAATTAGATTTTATTTTCTACTTAGTGTTAGTGTTTTTAGTTTATTTATTTTGAATTTAAATTTTATCAGATTTTCATTTTTATTTTATTCTACATTTTTTATCTCTTTTCACTTTTGTCTTTTTAGTCTGATTCCCACGTCGAAGCCTCGAAATTTGGGTCGCGACAATTTCAAATTTCAAATGCATTCCCAAGAACAAACACTATTAAAAAGTTATAGTTGCCAATAAGTTCTCATTGAAATTTTCAAGGACAAATCATGTCCCACCGATCAAGATACATATTGTATGTGAACTCATTTTTTGATTCGAACAATGAAATCACAATATTTTTAAAATATTCATCGTCTGTTTTACATTTTTTTTAAGTAAAGGCAAGGCAAGTACCCCATGTACGATAATTTGATGTCAGTTAAGGAGTCAATAAAGGAGATAGTTTTCTACAATTCTATTAAAATTATATTATTAGGATAGTCTACAACTATATCCATCTTTGAATTTCTATTGAGAAATGTTTTATCATTATTTCAATTGTCATTTCCATATGAACATTTAAGTCCATACTAAGTTTTAAGATTAAATACTTTTTAAATAGTTTTCCACACAAAACCTTCATAACATATATGTAATATCGATCTTATTTTAAAGAAAAGTATCGAGTCATTACAAGAACTTTTACTCGTGTATGACTTTAATAAATGTAAATATTAGTTTAAGTTAGAGACCGAAAGTCCCTTACCAACATATCCTTACCAACATATAAATGAGGGAGAGCTACGGCAAAGACAGATCTTATCTTTCACGTATAAGAAAATCACAAATTATTTACGTATAGCAATGATATAAAAGTAGGAACTCAAAAGCACTCGATTTGGTTTGTTTTATGTTGTTTTCTCTCCCATTTCATAATAAAAGAAACATAATGAAGTAAATGAAAGAGAAGAACAAAAGGCACACACATGACTGACTAAGGTTCGTTTCCATCTCTTTTCCCTACGTTACCAAACACAAGAAGGGAAGAGAAGAGATGGACAAAAGAACCAAAGCCAAACTAAAATAGTAGCTAACAAGACAAACAATATGCATAAACCCCCCATCAACCTATTTGCTTCTTTTTCTCCTTCTCTTTAGCTTCATTATTACCTGCAATAAAGCAACCATTGATTCATCAAAACATGTAAAATGCCCCAAAAAAGTGAATTTTTTATCCACATTCATTGCATTCTCTAGTATAAAGCAATTTAACAGTCAAAATTCACCGCTAGCAAATATTATTCTCTTTGAGCAGACCTTTCCGACTTCCTCTCAAGGTTTTTAAAATGCATCTACTAGGGATAGGTTTCCATGTCCTTATAAGAAATGTTTCGTTCTCTTCTCTAACCAATGTGGTATCTCACAATCCACTCCCCTTGGGGGCTAGCGTCCTCGCTAGCACACTATTTGGTCTTTAGCTTTGATATTAACTGTAACAGCTCAAGACAATTACTAGCAGATATTGTCTTTTTTGGGTTTTCTCATTTAGATTTTTTCTTAAGGTTTTTGAAACGCATTTACTAGGGATAAGTTTATACACCCTTGTAAGGAATATTTTGTTCTCCTCTCTAACCAATGTGCGATCTCACAACCCACTCCCGGGGCCAACATCCTCGCTAGCACACCATTTGGTCTTTGGCTCTGAGACTAACTATAATAGCTCAAGCCCACCGCTAGCATATATTGTTCTTTTTGGACTTTTCCTTTCGGGTTTTTCTTCAAGGTTTTTAAAACACATCTACTAGGCGAGAGGTTTCAATACTCTTACAAAGAATGTTTCGTTCTCCTCTCCAACCAACATACGATCTCACAATCAAAGATGCAACTTTCTACAAAAACATGTTCAAAATAGTTTCATAAACCCAAGATCAAGCTCAAAAAACAAAAGCATTGATCAAATTCGATGTGATTTCACATTCAATTAACTCTCCATTAACTTCTCTTAAGATTTAGTTTAAATGGATCTTGATCTAAATTACATTCTCTAGAGAGAGAAAGAGAATGGAACAAAAAAGCAAAAGAAAAGAGAGTACCAGAAGAAATTATTGAGATGGGTTTGAGCTTCAGAGTCTTCAGAATCATGAGAAGGAGAATGAACATGTCTTCCTTCATAAGTTGTAATCACCATTCTTGGATCCTCAGCTAATCTCTCCACTCGTTTCTTTACCCTACAGTGATCTTGTGTACAACGGTAATAGCTTCTGCATTGCAAACAAAAGTAATTAAAAAAAGATTGAATTTTTCATCATTACTTCCTTAGTTTTGATATAATCATTCCCCTTTTTGATGTTTTTGAAGCCTTATAATTACATCTTTCTCAGAAATCATGATGAAAAACATCAAAATTTGAATCTCACAAAAAGATAACGAATCAAATGAACAAAAGATGGGTTTTTTAAAATTTTTATTTACCGAGGATGCTGTGTGTTCTTGACAACTTTCTGGCCATACTTCCGCCATTTGTAACCATCATCAAGAACATCCACATCGCTTAGGGTTTTGAATGAAAATCTTGGCTCTCGAACTCTTCTTCTTCCTTTGATCTTCTTCATCTTTATTGTTGAAATTCCCAATTGATTTTCATTGCTTCTCTTCCCAATCTCTCCCCATGGCCTTCAAACACAAAATCAAATCTCAAGATCATTCATAAAAACAAGATTTTTTTCAAAAATTTAAGAGTGTTGGAGGGTACTCACCATAGATTTGGAGTGGAAGTTTGCAAGGAAAGGAGGTGTGGAGGAGCAAATTCATAGAAAGGGGAGGGCTTGAGGGGCAAATTCATAGAAGAAAAAAGTAGGGTTTCGGAGAGATTAAGGTTGGTGTCGGAATTATTATTATTATTGTTGGAGGTTGAGAAATTTGGATTCTCAAAGGGGTTTGAAGGGAAATTGAAGAAACCCATTTGAGAAATTGCTGGTGTTTGATGATCTTGATCTTCAAACAAAGCTTGTTGTGGGTTCAATAGGAGTTGGGATTTGGAACCCATTCTTGGTTGGCTATGGGTATGGCTATGGCTATGGCTATGGCTTCTTGGTTCTTCTTCTTCTTCTTCTTCCTTTGTGCAAAAGAGATGGGTTTGAAGGGTGAGAAGAAAGAGGGTTGAAGTTGAAGAAATGGGTGACAAAGAGAATGTAAGGTTAGCTATTTTATATATACGAGAATTGGCTAGATCCTTCCTTTACGTATATCCCTACTTCCCCTTTTTCTTTTTGCTATGCTTTTTACTCTTTTTCTTTTCTTTCTTTCCCCATTCTTCACTTGTCAGAATTTCGAGGTAAAGTAAAAAGTTCATTTTGGAGTTCCATATTAGTTAATTACACCAAAGATTTGAAGTAAGAAGCATTTTCCCAAGATTAAAACTAAAATTAAGAGAGCTTATGTTCAAAATATCTTATCATTGTGGAGGTCTGTTATATCATATTGAACCTACATCTAACAAATATTGTCCAGTTTGGTCCATTACTTATTATCGTTAGCCTACCGCTAACATATATTGTCTGTTTTGGCTCGTTACGTATTGACATCAACCCACCACCAATAAATAGTCTGTTTTGGCTCGATACATATTGTTGTTAGCCCACCACTAATAGATATTGTTTATTTTGGCCCATTACATATTGTCGTCGGCCCACCATTAATAGATATTGTCCGTTTTTGCCCAATACGTATTATCATCAACCCATCGCTAACAGATATTGTTCGTTTTGGCCCGTTATGTATTATCATCAACCCACCGTTAACAGATATTGTTTGTTTTGGCCCGTTACATACTATCATCAACCCACCGCTAACATATATTGTTCGTTTTGGCCTGTTACGTATTGTCGTCAGCCCACCACTAACAGATATGGTTCGTTTTGGCCCGTTACGTGTCGTCATCAGCCTACCGCTACCAGATATTGTCCGTTTTGACCCGCTACATATTGTCGTCAGCCCACCGCTAATAGATATTGTTCGTTTTGGCTCGTTACGTATTGTCATCCGCCCACCGCTAACAGATATTGTCCGTTTTGGCCCGTTACATATTGTCGTCCGCCCACCACTAACAGATATTGTCCGTTTTGCCCCGTTACGTATTATCATCAACCCACCGTTAACAAATATTGTTCATTTTGGCCCATTACATATTATCATCAGCCCACCGCTAACAGATATTGTTCGTTTTAGTTCGTTACGTATTGTCGTCAGCTCACCACTAATAGATATTGTCCGTTTTGGCCCGTTACGTATTGTTGTTAACCCACAGCTAATAGATATTGTTTGTTTTGGCCCGTTACGTATTGTCGTTGGCCCACTGCTAACAAATATGGTATGTTTTGTCCCCTTACATATTATTGTCAGCCTCAAGATTTTCACACATTTATAAACACAGATATTGTCTGTTTTACCCATTATATATTACTGTCAGCCTCACGATTTTAAAATGCCCTCTTACGGAGAGGTTCTCACAATTTTATAAGGATTACTTTGTTCCCCTTCTCAACTAACATGCAATCTCACGTGTGTTGTTCTTATGGGTTAAAATATTAAACAATAATCTTAATTCTCTTCGTTTTTTTTTTAATGAACTTACCAAATTGGTCCTCAGTTATGAATAAAATCTTAATTTGGTCCATGTGATTTTAGAAATTTAAAGTAATGTTGGTGATTTTAGCATATTTTTCATTTGGTCCCTTTATTTGTAGAAGTTTTCATCTTCATCCATATGATTTTTTAATTTATTTCATAGTAAAAACACAATTTATTTATTATTCGATTCTATATGTACTTAAACTACAAACTCTAAATTTATAATATAACCGTTATGAAATGAAAAGTATCAGCATAAAATTGACTAGGGTTAGCCGTGAAAGGAGATCTCGACATTCATTTTTTCATTCATATTCATAACTTAGTCTATTAAAATCAAAGGATGACCAGCCTCATCGTAGTAATTAGAGGACATCTTTGATCATTCGCCTCTAATATAACACGTTCCCTCAGATCAACAGAATCAGTCATCCCTCAAGTTGGTCTCCTTTTCTTCTAGAGAGACAAAGTCGTCGCCTCTACTGATCGAACCCCATTTCTCTAATAACCAACGATTAAGAGGTCGAAGATTCAAATCTCCAGTTTGACACGTTGCTGAGCTAAACGAAACTATAGTTGACAATTCTGGTGTAAATAACGAAGAACACTCGATGTGTTCGTCTCAAAAGCTTTCGAAAAAACATAGGGAATAGTGAAGGACATTCGTTCATCTACTATTCAACAAGAAGAAAGGAACAAAAAGAAGAGGAATGTAGGGAGAGGGGAGTGAATTAGAGGTATGAGGATTAAAAACTGAAGTTGATGCTTCCGACAATTGGAGCCTGATTATTATTGTTGTTGTCACTGTGTTTTTCCCCAAACCTCAAAAGCATAAAAACCGTGTCTCATTGGGGTTAGTGGAGATTTCACTGTTGAATTGAAGGTCAACTATACACGACAACACACCTTCAGACACGACATTCATTCTCTCTACTCCTTGTTCTGTTGGATACAACCGTTTTTCTAAACACACTCACATCTACTTCACTTCTCTTTAATAATCATTTTATTTTTGTTATTTTAAAAACAAAATTTGAAACTAAATGTTTTGAAAATGGAAAAAATTTAGGTGGATTTACGGGTTGGCGTTTTTTTTTATTGGGTCAACCCGAGGAATCTGAAAATAGAGTTACAATTCAATCCTACGTAACTCTATCCTATTTTTAAGATTATTACGAAAATCAAGAATATTTTATATTTGTAACTGACGTCAGTGATGCGTTATAACTTATAACCCAACGAATTTGAAAATAGACAATTTAACCCTACATAACTCTATCCTACTTTTAAGATTATTATGAACGTTAAGAATATTTAACGTTTATAATTGACATTGGTGATGTGTGACTTGTAAATATTTGATATTTTAAGTTTTAAAAAAACAACCCGACAACTCAACTCAACCTAATTTAAAAAGAGAGAATTAGGTGGTAAACTTCATTCTCGTTGCTCAAAATTAGTATTTTTATTAATTTAGCCATATAATTAATTTGCAATATTACGTTTGGTCCATATACTTTATGTTTTATTAAAAATATTACGTTTGGTCCATATACTTTATGTTTTATTCCGTTTTAATCTCTATTTATTTTCAATCAACTCTCTTTTTTTTTTTATTTCATTAATGGAATTTCGGTTATTGATTCTTTTTCACTTTATTTTAGGGAAAGATTAAACTTCATTCTCGATTCTACTAGAATTTTTATGAAAGCCTTTCATTTGGCCAACTTTTTATAGCTTTAAGCATATAAAATAAGTCCTAAATTTTAATTCCACTAATATAATACACTTTTATATAACTATGTTTTAAAATATCCATAAAATTTTAAAATGACCACGGAAACCCTTTACCTTAATAAAAATAACAAAAATAAAAAATCTTAATATCAATATATGAAAAAAAAACGTCTATGGACACCTCATAAATTATCTACACATATTTTAATATTACTTTAATTTTTTTAAAAAAAATTAAATATATTTTTGAAGTTTTTTTTTAAAAAAAAAACTAAGGGTATTAATAAAACTTCTGAAAACACCGACCATTTTTTAAACATTTTTGATACTTTTGAAACCATTTTGAAAGTTTATAGGTAATTTTGAAACAAATTATTAACGGCGTTTAATAAATATATTTTTTTAACTTTTTAAAAATTCAAAAAAAAAATCAAAATTTAGAATATTTATTTTTAGGGGTAGAAAGGAAATATGAAAAATATAGAGGGCAATGATGATGAATCTTGGGAGCAAATCTGATCCCACAGCATCACCAGTGAATTTATATATCATTATGATTCATAATATTATAAAAGATTGTCCCAATCCCTATTTGACTTTTCTTTTTTTCTTTATTTTTTTCTTTTTTTGCCCCATAAATTAAAAAGTTCTTCACCTTTTGCCCCCCTAAATTCCTTTCTTTTCTTTTCCTCCCCTTTTTCTTTTTCCTTTTTCTTTTTGCACCCCCACACACCCACCCACCACTTTCCCTATTTTCAAACCAAACCCATAACATTATTATCTCCTCTTTTTCATACCTTCATTTTCTTTCATAATTGCTTCATTTCATTTTAAATAATTTCCACATAATTCTCACATAATTATCTAAATCATTATTCCCATTCATATAACAAACCCCCCCTCCCCTCTCATTTGCTTCTAAATCATTACTAATAATGAATCCTTTCTAATTTTTCTTATGTCGATCACGACATAAGTTAGGTTGAACAAACGTTAGCTCGTCGGTTTTGTATTGATTTCAAGAAAAATGACGTTTTAAGAGATTATGTAAACGATATAGACTAAACTGACAATTTAACCGAAGACCAGAACATATAAAACAAATAGAAAGTAGAGATCGATAAAGTCAACCCAACCAGTACGGTTTACGTCAGACTATGAACTTATTTGGGTTGGATTTGGTTCAAATGAATTAGGTTAGTTTATGGTTAGGTTGAACGTTAGCTCGTAATTTTTCTATTGATTTCAACAAAAAAAAAAAAAAAAAAAAACTGTTTCAAGAGATTATATAAATTATATAGACTAAAATGGCAAGTTAACCAAGTATAAGTACATTTAAAAAAAAAAAAAGAAAAGTATGGGCGTTTAAAAACTTTGATGACCCGAAAAACTCGATCAACCAAACTCAATCGAACGATTCGGATTGAATGATAGGCTAGATTGGGTTGAGTTGGATTGAGTTGTTGGTTGATGAGTTTCCCTTAGACTAGATTGGGTTATCATTTGAAAACAAGTAAATAGATGTTTTATGAACTAATATTTTACTTCTACTATAAAAAATCGAACAAACAACGCAAACAAACTCAACCCAAAATATTTTATGATTAGAATGGTTAGGGTTCATTATTTAATAAGGATTGTTTAGTTGGTAAAATTTACGGCCTGAACAATTAGGTTGAATCTAAAAATATTCAGATTCGATCCAACCCAATCCACAGACACTACAAACAAAAAAAAAAACGAGTATTTTGTTGACTAAAATGAGGCAAGATCGTATGAAACAAGCTCATAACCCGAACAAGGTAAAAGGTAAAAATA